CGCCCCGGCGGGGAGCGCGCCCGGGGGCTGCCGGCTCCGTCCTCCTGGTGCCCTCCAGCGTCTCCTTCCCGAAACAACTCAGCAGAGCAAGGCCCTTAAGAAAAGATCCTGCGTGGGTGATGCTCCACCGGGAATCTGTCAGGATCAGGCGCCGAATTTAAGTCTGAATTTAATTCACTGGGGTAAATGGAATTTAATTTACTGAGTAAGCAGTGTGTCTTTGACTAAGGCAAGAGAAATTTAAGCGCCCTGCTGACATCAACCTAGGCCGAGAAAGACGAGTTTTGCTACGTTCAGGAAAGCAACACAGCGTTCATGGTATCTGAGTAGCTGTTCTGGAGTGCTGCCTTATTGACGATGTTCCCCATATAACCATTTGCACTGTATGGCATCACCGTACATAGACTGAGAAGTCGTGATTTGTTCTGTGGCTGGTTCAAGCAGTAAGAACACGAGTTACAGACTGCAGGACTTTTATTCTGAATTTTTCTCTTTGTTTAGATAAGTAACTTCAACAAATTCCCTGTTCGGCTCAGAATAATCCTGTACAAAAATAACACAAAATAAAAGCAGTCTGTTCAATTTGGCTGTTTCTAATTAACTTCAGCAAAATTCTGACTCTACTGATCTTAACAGCTGTTCTCATGTCACTACGTGGGGATTCTACTTAAGAAATAAGTGTCCTTCAGATGAAACAAAATACATTGCCATAGGCTTGGCTCGTATTTACCTTGTGAGCATTTCACAGAAGGAAGAAACATACCAATTTATAGGCCTCTACATATTGGGTTTAAGTTGGTATAACGGGCACCATAAGTCTATGCAACACCTACAGCTAAATTATGGATAATTTAGGGAAAATCAGCTTTCGCTAAGTGAATATTTCAGTCATATTATTTAACTGTTTTTGAAAGAAAATGATGACATAATAAGCTCTGAAATGTATCTGCAATACAGAAAAATAAGTTTTCTCAGACCCTTAAGTAACAACGCAAATATTATAAGAAATAAAGGATCCAGCTAATGTTTACTTTAATCCATGTTTTTTACTTTAGTGATGCTGGCAAATAATGCATTTGTCAAGACTTGCTTAAAATCTTTTTTCTTTTATATCATAGTCTAATTGTAAGTTCTGTCTTTTTAGCAGTTTTTACCACACAGATTCATGGCTCGCCTCCTCAAAATCATCCCCAAATTTTGAAGCAAAATCATCCCTTTTGCTTCCTCAAAATCATCCCTGAATTTTAATCTGCTCTACTTTAGCTCCCAGCAATGGTATACATTATTCTTTACTTTATTATTCTTTACTTTAACATTACTTAACATTATTCTTTCCACCCCAGCTACTTGGTCTATTTTGAAGATTATAACCAGGAGATGAAGGGCCTGCCAGTTCAGAGGCAGGTCCTAAATTGTTGTAATATTCAGTTAGTTTCTACCTTTTTCTTTACAGATAAGCCCTGGATGATGATTTTACTATCTGCTCTCGATAAGAGATCATGGATAGTGGTGTTGCTGTAGAAGATTTGGTTGGAAATCTAACATTTCTTCCCTGTTCCCCTCTCTGGCTTCAGGAAGAAGTAACCTAGCAATGACTTATGCCAGCAGCACATTGTTTAGCCTTTTTGTGGCGAGGACATAGCAATGCCACATCGGCTTTACCGCCTCCGTGAAGTCAGGGCTTGTGTGCTACTAGCCTTGGCAGGAGGAGAGCCTTGCTCTGCCCTTTCTGCATGGCAAGAGCAGGTTGCGATCCCTCTCATACTGCTGTGATCTTGGCTATGTTTCCTTACAAATGGTAAAACTTGGGTTAGAGTAATGGAATGACATAGCTTATACTAAGTTCCCCAAGAACTGTTTTCACCACTTCCTTTACACTGGTAAATTACCAACCAGTTATCACAGAATCACAGAATGGTTGAGGAGGGAAGGGGCCTCTGGAGGTCATCTGGTCCAAATGCCTTTCTCAAACAAGTCCACCTACAGCCAGTTGCCCAGGACCATGTCCAGATGGCTTTTGAATATCCCCAAAGATGGACACTCCACAGCCTCTCTGGGCAACCTGTGCCAGTGCTCAGCCACCCTCACAGTGAAAAAGTGTTTCCTGATGTTCAGAGGGAACCTCCGGTGTTTCAGCTTCTGACCATTGCCACTGGTCCTGTCACTGGACACCGCTTAAAAGAGCCTGGCACATAGGTGAGCACACCCACAGGCATATAGCGGCTTTTCAGGTGCCCTAAGGAGCCCAGCTGCTGCTCTAGATGTGCATGAGTCCTGGTTCATGGCCAACAGGCTCACCTGGCTGCCTTGGCTCACCTGGCTGTGAGCAGCCATAAAGGCAGCCTCGTTAGAAGGGGAAAATTACTGAACAGAAGAAACTGTCTGCTGAAAAATACTGACAGAGAAAGGCTCGCCAGCCTGGGACTGCGAGCTTGGGGACTAGGCCTGGGAACTACAAGCATCCTTGAAAAGTGCAGCCAGGGACCTAGAAACCAGAGACATCCTGAGGTACCACCAATAAGCGCAAAAACAAGGGATTGTAATGGCAGCTTATAATCTGAGAAGGTGGAAAACAGCCTGGAAAAATAAAATTGCTCTGAAAGAACAGAAAACAGCATCACCTATTGGCTGTTACAGGTGAAAAATAGAAATTAAGAGCACCTATTGGCTGCTGTAGGATGTCCTACACCCTTATGCCTCTGTTATAAAAAGGACTTAATTTTTATTCAAAATGGAGCCTCTCTCTCTGAGAACTTCCCAGGTGAATCCCACATGAACTTTCCACGAGCTCTTGGACTCTCAGCAGGGATGCCCAGCTGGCTCCAGACTCTGTGGTGGGGATCCGCTTTGAAGGGAGATTGTCTTTTATCTTACTGCTTGGGTCTGTCCTCCCCTCTTTTGGGATGGTTGCGTGTCCCTCCCAGGATTGGTTTGTTCTGCCCTTTTGGGATGGTTTGGCTCCTTCTGAAATCTGTTTAATTTGCTTCATATCGATATTATATATATTCATATAAGTAATCTCTCATAAGTATAACTGTTGTTATATTGTTGATAAGTTTTCTTTACTAGGAAAAAGGAACCCACGGTCGCTACCTCTACACAACCGCAGGACGGGTAACCCTTCTGGTCGTGACATCTGCCAAATGCCACATCACGCTTTGAACCAAACCCTTGGTGTCAAAACACAAGGAATACTTTTTGGCATTTCAAACCCTCTCATCTGTGGCACAACTTAATTGCTCTTCAGAATTCAGATTAATTTTTTTTCCTTGAAATTTAGATGTTTTTATTTCTGATAATATTACTCATACAATCCAAATGAAAACATGTTAAATTGCTAATCGGACATCTGATCATTTCTTGCTAGGCATTTTGATTATGACAAATGACTGTGAAATTAATTGTTAAAAAACAAGTTGTTGTCCTTGTAATAAAAGGAAAAATATAAAAGTGGCTCCAGTGTCACACTGTGTAGCTTATTGTGAAGGTGGTTTGACAGCCCGGGTGTAACAAACATTCCAGTTAGCTGATACGAAAGCAAGGATCAGCACGGGGCTCAGAAAACAAAGCATATTTCAGCTGCAACCAGGCGTTCGTCAGAAAGAGAGTCTCACAGTTTCCAACTGATTTTACAATAAGAATAATTTGTTTGTGCTGTGTGTCGACAGTTTTATTTAAAGCATACAATGAAAAATACCGACATGCTGTTATTCCTCTTAGCGACAACTGCTGCACTACAAATTTTAATTTTTAAGTAGTAACATTCTCACATTACACTTACAGATTTTTTTCCATTGAAATATGTTCCCTTGTGTTATCACAGTCCATCCTTAAAGTGTATAATTAGAAAACCTATTTGTATAAGCAGTATGTCTAACACATAAGCCAGGGAAATGCTTTACACAAATAAGTTATATTTTTAATTTTTTTTGTTGACAACAAAACTGCCAAGGCAGCAACTAATGTAACATCCAGTGTATCTAAATGTGTGTGTTCCCATTCTTACCAACAGAAATCGACTATGTATTCCTCATAAGTTTACTAATTGCCTATATTTTTATTGAAAATTTAATTTTCATTGAGACAACAATGAATTCATACTAGCCTTTTGCATGGCAAAACTCACCTGATATTAAGTGAATCTCTCACACAAGCTATATAGAATTGCATGTATTTTCCTTTATTCTTTAGGGAACTTCTGGGAACAGAGCTCTGAGCAGTGCCACACTTGCAAATGAGCACCAGTGACTACTTTTTCACCCCTTTTTTTGCAACAGGCATTGCAGAATGTGTCCTTTTCTTTATTGTGGCCACCAGTGATGAGATTTTTTGAATTAGATTCACAGATGAGCTTTTATGTACTGTTCGCATCTGTGCATCTTCTTTGGTGCCCCGTGAGCCATTCAGTTACAGACAAGAAAAGAGAAGATAAAAGAGACAAGAGATCCTCCTCTTGCATGGAGGAGTGAAAGTACAAATCTGTGCATTATAATGTTTTTCATTACTTATACAAAGTAGGTCTTTAACAAAAGGATGAGAAGATTCATTGCAAAAAGGTCAGGAGACTAGAGTAGGACTATTGGCTTCAACTGCCTTCTCTGAGCAGGTAGATTCAGAATTTGAAAAAGATCTCCCAGCTTGGGTAAACCGGGTTAAAATGGATTGAAAATTCAATTCAACTGAGAATTCAAGTTACAGGCAATTGAAAATTGAGTCTTGCTTTTCATAAGAAAGGCTGGGCCACCTCAGTTAGGTAACATAAAGAAAGGCTGCTTATGGAAATGTGTGTGTTGAAGTAGGTGCTTCCTTCCAGCACGTATTTCTCAAACATCGTTGAGAAATGGGAACAAAATCTTAGTCTACTGACTGTGCTAAGGGGCTCCATCTTCCCCTTTCCACTGTCTGGAACCGCTTGCATCTCCCATTCTGTGTGTTGCACAAAACCCCTTGGAGCATACAGAGGATTTAATTGAGCAGCCAACCCAAAGGAAATAATCCTTCCGGGGAAATCTAGTCTCTAATTATTTCATGTGCCTGCATGGTAAGTGGGTAGTTGAACGGTGATACTGAGGATCAGCCTAATACCTCCATGTTGGCTTTCATTGGACATTGATACTTGTCTACCCATGGATGTAGTTCTTGTATTTTAATTTTCCAAACATAAGCACATGAGAATAACTGTATATAGGAGAAGTCCCACTGAATTCAAGAAGGTACGCATGCTCATACAACCATTTGTTTGGCTGTTGGGTTTGCAACTAGAATTACCAAACCCAGCTGTTACCAGTGAAAAACTCCCTCTAAACCCAGCATGGGTTTGGAAGGAGTTAAAACTGTAGGATCAACTAATCTAGGTTTCAGGATAATATAAAGCATGGTCTTATTCAGACATTTCATTCATCGTGTACTTTTTCCTGTAAGAACTGACATTTAAAAAATCTTAACACAAAACACTTTTCAACACCTCATAGCTTTGGTTGATGCTAATTTTGTCTGCTTCCCTCTTTGACCAGCTAGAAGTTGGTGCTTAAGCTTACTTAACTCTTGACCGATCCACAGATGATCTTGCGGGTTAACTTCAGGAAGAAATTAATTGATCATGATCTCATCTTGATTAAGAACTAAGCACAAAATCTTCCTTTCAGCATAACTTTCCAACAGTAAGTTCTACCTCACAACCTTGTAACACACTCTCCCATGCACCTACACAAGCATGAATAGACAAGAAAACAAAACATTATCAAACTGTTTCACTCACAGACTGAAGAAAGCTTATTTTCAGATTTGAATTCCTTGGAAGCACAGATGTTGATTATAAAATGCATGGGCATAAGGAATTTTGAAGATAACAGCATATATTAATTTTTTTTTTTTACTATTAGTATAGCATTAAAGAAGATCCTTGTAGTGTTCTAAAAATCTGCATCTCATACAGTTGGAAGCCCTCTGCTCTACTTAATATTACCATATATAGTACTTCCTAAACTGCATTTTAAAATTTCTTTTTGGGATATACAATATTTCAAGTTCAGCTGAGATGTTGTTATTAAACATCTGGAGATTGAAAATACGGTACCGGACAATGAAAGAACACCGTCCCATAAAACACAACATACAAACCATTTTTCACAGTTCTAACAAAACAAGATCGTACATAAAAATGTCACAAATAGCTCAGTACATTAGTATGATCAAAATAATGTTAAGTCCAGCTGATATTGTCACATATTAAGGGCCAAATCCTGGCTCAATGCGCAGTTGAAGCCTAAACAGATGTTTAGAGAAAATAATATAAAGCCCCACTGAAGTGCTATACTGATAACAGTACCATTTGTTAATCTACCTAAAATTTTTGGCCTGAAGTACGTACCTAATTTGTGTTACGGAAGGACCACATGGCCAATAGTGCTTGGATCCTGTCCTAGGACACGTCTTTATGGACTTGTCGTGGCCAAGGGCAGTGGAGGCTGAGGAGCAGTCTTCCGTCTGGGTTTGACAGTTTTGGCAGGCATCTATATCTACTGTTCTGCCACAATTGGCCAAGAGTTCGAAATCCTGTACATCTTATTCAGTAGTCCCAGTGCAGTCAATGGAACTTTTTTGCGAGTAAGATGAAAAGGATTTGGCCCCCAAAGTTTTTAACCCTTTAAGTAGTAAGAGAGTAGTTTCATTGCACTTAGCCCATCATTCACAAATAACTTTCTACTTGAAAACAGAAGATGGTTGTTGATGTATAAGACGTGTTGGCTCACAAAGAGGAAAGCGTGCAGCAACATCTGACTACTCATCGCATTTTGGAACTCAGTTCCCAAAGGGGAAAAGAGACACTTGCATATGACAGAATTTCATCCAATGTCTGTCTGAGGCTAAAATGATTGCTTCTTCAATTCCTAAATACCATCTTATGGGTACCTTAGAAACACTAAATAACTGGAGTATGTATACAGCTATAATTGGATACCTGCATGTGTACCTTCATTGGACTGGTGGTGGATAATCAATTTCATCTAATAGTATTAAAATTTTACAGAAAAAGTTATTGGAGCAGATGGATTTTTCAAAGAGCTTTTTAAATACTTTCATATGGAACACATGGTCATGACTTTGGGAAAAGAGAAATTTTGCTCTCATCCACAAGAATGCTTTTGGTGACTGGAATGGGCAAGAACAGCATTTTCGTATTTAAAACAAAGTAATCTTACTCTGTTACACAATTCCATGTTTTGTTCTGTGACCGTGGATTTGAATTATTATTCATTTGAATTAAACAGGAAAAAAGATAACTCTATGCTAATTAAATTAATCAAACCTATATGACAGCACTACTTCGACCAACAGTCATTGCAACACAGTATATTCTAATAACATGCAGCACTCAAAAATAGAATTTGGGATTTAAAATTGTGTAGTCAGGATGCAGACATGAACTCTAAGTTAGAATTGGAAAACAGGACTGAGTACCATGGAGTTTAATCCCAACTGACAGAGTGAATTACTTCATCTCTAATACTGTGTCACGCTCATGCTGATGCTTAATATGTAGCTGCAACAAAGCTACGAAGAGCAGAGCATAAGCCCTGAAAATGCTTGCCTCAACAATATCTGCACTTACAGACAATTTTATAGCGTTCCCCTTTTGCAAATGAGATAAAAATCTGGATGCCTTGTAAACATTGCTAAGAGCATGCCTTCTCATTGGCACCAGAGCCTGGAGGTGTCAATGATCATCTGAGGAAACTGCATGTGAAGCCTCTATGAATTGGTTAAGGTGAGTGAACTTCTACCCTTTTGGTTATATTAAATAATTTTAGTTCCTTGTATTGCTTCTTTCCTTCTCCAACAGAAGGGTGTAGACATTTTGTGCTGACAGCAGTCCTTTGGTATCAAATTCGCAGGGGACATTATGGGTTGCATATCCCTTTGGCTAAGGGAATAGGATTAGGTTTCATACTTAATTCTCCCACTGCATGCTGAAATTAGGAAGAAAAGTTCTTGGAAGGTAATCTAAGTTGAACAAAAACTTCACTCTGCTCACTGGGAAAACTTCACAGACTTCAACAGGCACAGTTGTTGCTGTGCTACACATTAGTCTAGCCTTTGGAAAAACCTGAATAAAAGCTCCATAAATAGGGCTGTAATGAAGGCTTCAGAAAGAGATACATAATGGTATGCCCAGGAAAAGGTTACTTTGGGTGATGTTGTGCCTACACCTGTAAGAAAGATGTTAAGGTATCTCTTTGGTACTATTAAGGGAAGTCTCTTCGATTTCATCCAGTTTTCCCATGATTCACCGTTTTCCATGCATATACCCTACTCTTAAAGGCAGATCCTGCAGTCTTTATTCCATCTTCGTTCCTCACTCAACTGGGAATTTGTCAGAATAATGCTGAGTAGGAGTGCATCTCCACTCTTAGACACCATTAGCCCTTGGTGCCTCCTGGCATGAACTCAGCTTCCAGATTTTGGCCCTGCTGTGGCAGCTCCTAGCTCCTTGCATGGGTGAGGACCTTCTTGAACAAGTAGGTAACCTGGACGTACATTCCTACACAGATGGGAAGAGTAGGAACAGGAGGAGACATACTGACTGGCCTTCATGCCTTCCACCTGGAGTGACAGGGGAGTCTCCCTGGCGTGAAGAGGGGTGGTGGCCGGCTCCTTGGTGTACACATGGAGGTCGGGAGAGAAACCTGGCACCCAAGGCAGCCCTTGGGGCTGGCCCATAATGCTTACAGAGGCTAAGGTATTTTGTGGATTCAGGTCTTGAAAGCGATGTCACAGCATTAGATATGAGAATTAAAGGTTTCATGGCAGAAGACAGGGATCTCTTTAGAACTTCTGAAGGAGAAAATATTTTGAGAAATTTTCTATGAATACCACTGCCCCAAAAGGAAAGTATGCACATGCTATATGCTATATTTTTGGGGTTTTGTTTTTTTCCCTTCTGTTTGTCAAAATAGAAAATGCTTAGGAAAGAACAAAACTGATCAATTTTATGATGACATAGCACATTTCTGATGTATGTTGAGATTTATTATTAGCAATATTTGACTTTCATTTTTGGGTTCTGAAAGCATTTAAAACTCAGTATTAAAAAAGCCTCACAACAAACTTCTGAAGCAAGTTTATCTCTATTTTACAGGTAAGGAAACCAAGGCACAAAGAAAGGAAATGATTTGCCACAGATAGTCCAGTAAGTCAGTGGCAAAGTCAGGAAGAGAATGAAATTCTGCAGTTATGAGTTAACTCTCTCTTCCTGCTAAGAAAATTCATCTTAACCCTAATATGCTGTTTCACGCCACCTGTATTAAAGATCATGAAAACTGGCCAATTTGCACTGTTAAAACTGTTGCAAAGCCAATGATTTTTTTCCATATAAGCACAAAAATGCTACTTAAAGGGTTAATTACATTGCTGTGCTGGTAAACATTTTTACTTGTTGCTGGTTAGACCCATATTTAAATACTGACTGGGACAGAAGAGACTGAGCTGGCCCTGGACTCCCTTGTCTTGGTGTTGGGCATGGATATCGTACAACAGGATACGCCCACAGTGGCCTCAGGCAGCTCATCTTCCTCCGTCCATTCATTGAGATCCGGGTTATAGCACTGAATGCACTTCTTATACTTTTTCTCTATTTCATTCCAGCCACCCACTAAGTAAATTTTCCCGTTAAGGGTGGAGGCGCCAGCCGTACTAACTCCAGTTTGAAGCGGCGCCACGTAACTCCATTGCCCCGTGTAAGGACTGTAACACTCCACGGGGAGAACGTCGACCCTTTCAGCTCGCCCCCCCAGCTGAGACCCACCCATGACATAGACCCTCTCCAGAAGGGACACTGCGCAGTGCCACCCCCTTGGGGTGCTGAGGCTGGACTTATCCTGCCAGCTATCTTTGCTGGGGTCGTACATGCACACCGAGCGAGAGTAAGCGTTATTAATGTAACCTCCTGTAACCAGGATCCGACCATCCACCACTGCACTGGCGTGGCAGCACCTGGGCACCTCCAGGGGTGCCTTCATCTGCCACTGATTTGTTGCAGGCACATAGCATTCAACCGAGGAGAGGCACCCCTCAGAGTTGCGACCACCCACTGCAAAAAGGAGGCCATTGAACACATTCAGGCTAAAGTGGGTGCGCCGCTGATTCATGTTTGCCAGGTGAATCCAGGTGTTGAAACGAGGATCGTACCTGAAAGCATTAAAAAAAGAGGGTAACTGTCTCATACTGCTCTGCTAAATTCTACAGTCCTGTCTCTGTCCCACTACTGCTGCAGCTGTGCAGTTGCTAAAATTTTAGTTATTTATTTAGCCCATCAGAAGTCAGTAGAAAGAAACTGGTATTCCTGGTTAAATTTCCAAATAAATTTAGTTTTTGATTGGAGAAAAAAAGTGTTTGTATCATTCAAACCTGGTATTATTTCAATAAAGTAAATTTGACTCTTTTCTGCAATTTGATAATGTATGATAACCTCATTAGTATATTGGAAAGAGATACTTTCAACATACAATAGAAATTTTAGAAGTTTTTTTGCAATCTACACCTACAGCAAAGACATCAAAATTTACTCAAAGAGTTTTAAAAAATGTTAGGCGGTGATTTATACTTCCATATTTTTAGTACTTTCTAAATGGTAAGTATTCTTTCCCTACCACTCATATGGAGTCAGAATTACGTGGAAAGAACATCTTTGCTTCCTAACACCATACCTGTCTGAAATAACATTCTCTGTCCTTGACATTTAAATGGGCAATTTTGAAATAGGAAATAGCAAATTATGACTCCTGAAGGAGTTGAGTGAGGTACATTAGTAGGCCCATACATTTCTCCTGTTGCATGCTGTGGCGACCAGAGAATCACACGAGAAAAAGACTATGGGAAAGTAAATAATAATTGCTAGCTGTCATACTGCATTGTCATGTGCAGCTCTGAAAGCAAGCCCACAAATATACTGATGTGACTTGACATGCTCGAAGTTAACGGCAGAACAGGGAGCAGAACCCATTCAGCCGTGGACCACAAGGATTCCCCCTCCTCCTCCCCACCTCCAGTACACAGCTCCTTGTGAGAACGTGAGGCATAGTTTAAAAGCAGAAGCTCGGGAGAGCGACAGCATAATCTCCTTTACGCGAGATATTTTTCTGACAAAGTAGATATTGCACAACAAAACTGATCTAGAGAAGGTTCCTTATTCATTAACTCTTTATGTTGGTTGATAACTTCAGGAGAAGTTATCTGAATGTTCCTTCTGGGAGCAGGAAAGGAAGCACTGGTAGGACTGTGGCTGTGTATTGCCATTGCATGTCCATAGTCTGTTAGTAGATAAAAAGCTGAGTTGTCTCACCTCCAGCCTTTGCTTCAAGCTATTGTGTGCTGTCAGCTTTTAGGCTGAACTATTTAAAAACTAGTATCACCCATCTGACTACTGCATGTTAGCCTTCTGACCTTGCTATCACCAGTGCAGTCTTTGCATGACTATAGATAGGAACTGTAATATTTCAGGAGTGAGGTATTATTTGGAGTACACTGTAGAAGAGAAATATAGCCTTCAAGAGATGGTGATATTGTTTCTAAATTCTTGATAAATAAAAAAGCTAAAGGATATGAAATGCAGTATAAAAGCTGTTGAAAGGTGGATGGTGCACAGAAAGTCAAGATTCTAATACCTAAAAGGTGTTTTTCAGAACCTTCTGTGAGGCATCAGAAGTTCTTGAAATTTAAAAAGTCTTACCCTGTCTGATTTGGTGCATTTTAATGGTACCTTAGAACATCCCAGAACTTCCTATTTATGTTCCTATTTATTTCCTCCACTTGGAGTAAGTTTTCTCGGTTTTTCTCACTTCTCATTGTGCATGTATAACCATGGTGCAGTTTTTGCATAACTTCAGATGCATATTTCTGTTCATTCAAACTTTAATATAGAATAGCATCCATACCTCCCCAACCCTGTCCCCTTTTTATTTATATGAGTGGTTCATGCTGCACATCACAAACCAGCTTGGTCTATCTACCTACATTGTGTGGAATCAATCTCTCCATCCCTTTTAAATAAATAACCAGTTACCTGGAGAAATTGCTGACTGCATGCTTGGCTTGGTTCCTGGCATCATTCTGGTCTTCCCCACCGGCCACATAAAGAAATCCATCCATCACCGTCACACACTGATTAAAACTTTTAGCAGGCATTTCACTCAGCTTCTTCCATCCATTTTCAGGATCTCTGTATAAGATGTCTCTGCTAAGAGACTTTTCTGTTAGAGCAGGGCGTCCCCCAACAGTAACTAAGACTCTGAAACCTCCACGGATCCTCGTTCTTCTGGACTGCAGTGTATTCTGGTGGTAGGGAAGCAAATGATAGTTCATGGCATCCACTAGGAGCTTATGGCAGTCTGCATCTTGCATCATTCTCGGCACAGTTTGAACATAATTGACAAGGTCTTGGGCTGAGATGGTACCAAAACGGATGTTACCTAAGAGATCGGCAGCAAACTTTACTCTTTTTTGGTCAAATTCCAGCCATTTTATTGCAATCTGGAATGCAACAATTTCAGAAGGCAACTGCAAGTCGTCATCTGCAAGAAGTTCATTAATCTGATCAAAAGTAAGTTTTAAGAACTGATCCGTTTCTGAAAATTCAATGAAGTTGTCTCTAATAAATTTGTGTGCTGCTTCCTTGGTTGTTTTTAGTCCGTATGTTTCTGCAATATTGGCAACGTACATACAATTCTCAACACTGATTTCTTGGATTAGAAAATCACAGCATATCTTTACAAGGGTGTGAATCTGTAGATAAATTGCTGTGGAAATAATACTACCTATTGTATAAAGTGAGAGAGTAAGTTTTCCAGTGTAAGCATAGGTGATAACAGTAGCTAGACCCAATGGGGATACGTCATTGAGGTCTACTCTTTGAGTGGATGGATCTTTCTTTAAAATGTTGTGAAAGTAGTCACTGCTTGAAGCCATCACCACCTTATGAACACTGAAGGATTTGGTTTTGGTACTGATAGTCAAGTCACAAAGAAAATTTTCTTGTCTCATTCTGCTTAGACCTTCCAAGAGATTTGGGCTATATGATGAGTCGGAAACTTCAGATGAGATGCAGCTGAAACCATTACCTCCATCCAAGAGCCCATTCAAGCCATTTAGTTTACTGAGGGGGCCATCTTCCACAATGATAGTCATTTCATTGATATCTGTTTTGTTCTTCTTCACATTCTTCTTCTTAGGGGCCATGACTGCAATGAAATATTACAGCCAAGAGCTTGCTAAAAATAAAATTAAAACATTTAGAGCTACACTGCAGTTGTGAAATGTAATAGCGCCGTGATTATGCAACAAATCTAACCTTTGTCAATACATATAAATGCCACAAAACCAAAACAGACAGGATAATCTATCTTCCTAAGAACTATTATACTGTCCTAGATTGTAGTGTGGCTGCTTATTAATAACAATGGATACTCAAATTGTGAAGAATACACCTACAACACTAAAATAATTGTGAAGAATACACCTACAACACCTAAAATAATTCCTTTTTTCTTAATAACAAGGTCATAAAAATAACTTTCCCCTATTGTGACCACATCCAAAGAGTTAAATTCTCTTCCTAAACATTAAATGAGTTTGCCAGAGTGTAAAATTTTGTAAATATACATTTAAATCAGCCAGGCTCTAGATATGAATTCATTAGTCTGAAGCATAGGAAAGATATGGGCCCCCCCGGCTTTGCTCATCCTTACTCCAGGGCTAGTACAGACTTACAGGAGAGTTCAGAATTTGACCAGGACATATTAAGAGTGGGAGAAATTCTTCATTAAAAAAAGCAACATAAGACATAAAGACAAAGTGAATTTTAGTATGATGCCATGTTGATTTTAGATTTAGTATCTGCTCCAAACTGTTTCCAGGTTTTTGTAACTTTTGATTTTCCAGACTGATGATATTCTACTTCCCATGTCAGATTCACAAATACATTCTATTCATAGCACACTTTGCTTGCTTTTCAATATCAGTAATTTGAAATCTATAATTCTACACTTAGGATTTTGTCTAACTTTTATTTGAGAAAAATGTCACGCAAACACTAGCAGGACGTGTTATTTTAAACAAGTTCTTTATGTGTGTAGGTTAATAATTACTCCCACAGAGTTATGTTAGAACAGATATTTGATTTAGACTTATCAACTCTAGGCAAGTTCCAGCTCTTGCTGAAATGACAAGCCCAGTTTTTGTCAAATGCAATGTGAGATGGCCCCTAAGTAATTTTCAAAGGAGCTATTTCAAATAAATATATGTATATGCAAATATACCTCAAAGGAAAGCACTGATCTTCAATAACACAATTAAAATAGAATTGATGAGATCAGCATTCAAATATATTCAAATATAGCATTTATCTTCAATATATCCATTGATTTTAAAACAATTTACACCAGCTAATTTTCTCTGTGATCCTTGTGCTCATTCATGAAGAAATGCTACCTAACGATAAAACAACTGGATTATTTTAGGTAACTTAATAAAAAACTCCAGTAATATTTCAGCCTAAAATCTCAGCACATCAATTTTTCCTTAAGCACATAGCACGTAACAAAACGGTAATTTAATTTTAGAAAGGAATGGTTGCTGCCTGTGAGCACCAAGATTTTTTTGCTGCCGCTGGGGGGTGACGACCATGTGCAGAGCGGGCGAGGGAGAAGGCCATGTGTGCCGAAAGCGTCAGTGTCAGCTCGCGCTGACGTGAGCTGCGATCCCCGAAATGTCGGTGTGCCAGTGCGGGGGTCAGCTGCTGCCTGGCTCCCCCCACTCCGGCTGCATTCCGGGAGCTGCATCTGTTGAGACCTATCAGAGTCACCTCCCAGAATAGCAACCTCCCAGCAGCTTGCCATTTTAAGACAGGTTCAATGAAAGGTATAGCTGGTGTTTTAGTATACTTTGGTTGTTTAACACAACTTTTTTTCAAAAAAACTATGCTATCCCAAGTGTTGTGTATATTTATTGACATAGAATAAAAGGAAAATGAAACTTTCGGATGTGTTTGTATGTTACCCACACAGTTATAGCTTTGCCTTTTAATAGCCACAAATTTATAGCTGGCAAGGGCATATTCTTTTCGCAGTCATATTTGTGGTTCTAAATATTTTTAGAGACCTGTAACTTAAAAATTTTAATACATGCAGCACTTAATATTTATTGCCTCACTGCGTCATTGCAGAGCTCATTTAAATCTGTGACATTTTACGCTTTCTGTTCAAAAATGTCCACTCTCCCATGTTTTTTCCTAAAAAATACTTTTCCATCAGCAGAAATGTCACCAGTTAGTTTAGTGTATAAGCACGTAAGTGACAGGACATGCAAAACCAGTGAAACAAATCAAACAATCCTATAATAAATCCAAATAATTGAACTTTGAAAACCCTGGATGATTGGGTTTTCTATAGCCATTTCATTTTTTTTATAGCCATTTCATTTCACCTAATTTATTTTAGCTTAAGAACAACTCATGCCAAAGGACACTTCGGGTCCCAAAACAATGCATTCAAACAAACAACGTTCCCCCCTCCTTTAAAATGTTGCTTCTAACCACTATCAAAGTGAGGAGTTAAAAACCCCTTACCCTCCTCAGAAAAATCGTGTCCCAGAGCTGTCCAAGAAGCTGTCAGTGAAAATGCCTCTTCCTTGGAAAAATGAGAAGACAAAAATAGAGGAAAGGTGGCAAAAAAGAGAGAGAAAGATCAGAGGCCACTTGGTAAGTCCCAGCTTGTGGTTTCCAGTGTGACGCTTTGCTGTCACAGCGAGCAAAAGAGACCGGAGCCTACTCTCGGGTGCTCTTTAAAATGACCCCTCCTCTCCGTGCCTCGCTCCCTGCCTCTGCCCAGCCATGGGAGCTCAGCTTCCCCGGGCTGCCTGGCCTCCAGAAACCAGGCGGACAAGCCTGGACGCTGCAAAGGCACAGGTACAAGGGAGGAAAGGGAGGGGACAGTGAAGACGGTAGGTAGATCCACAGCAGGTAGTAATTGTCCCAGATAAGTGTGGGGTGGACCACTGGGTTCCCCACCTCAAAGCTGGGTGCCTGGGCAAAAGGCAGTATGCTTGGGGAGAGGGACAGGTTTAGATTGGACATAAGGAAGGTTTTTTTTTACAATGAGGGTGGTGAGACACTAGAACATATTGCCCAGACAAGCTGTGGATGCCCCATCCCTGGAAGTGTTCAAGGTCAGGATGGATGGGGCTTTGAGCAACCTGACCTAGTGAAAGATGTCCCACGGCAGGGGCGTTGGACTGGATGAACTTTGAAGGTCCTTTCCAACCCAAACCATTCTGTGATTATATTATTCTATGATCTAAAATAACCAGCAGGAAATGCCAAGGAAAAGCTGGCACTTCAGTTCCACTTTCTTAGGATTTTGGTGCTTAACTCTGGGCAGAGGGAAGGAGACCGGCTGATGGGGATTCACAGCCACGTCCTATTTCTTGGAGTTAGGTCGCTGCTTCTGTAAAGACTTGCCTCAACTTTTAAGAATACTGGCTCATATCCCCTGATATATTCGCAGAGAGGTGTGAACTTTGATCCTCTGTCTCACAAGAAGGTATCCTAACTTGTGGGTTATACCATACACTGGCATAGTTTACCTCCACCTCTTGCCAGTCAACCTCAGGAATAACATAAAGCCAAACCGCCACATCCCAGGAAAATTTCATCCCACGGGAGAGATAAAAGAGGTGTGAGTGACTGCTTGGGAAGGGAAGGATATTGGTGGAAGTGGAAGGCAGAGAAAGGGAAGATTTTCTCTTGGCTGTACTTTGTGTAATGCTTCATCTGGTAGATTTGTTCGATTGCCTCCAGGCTCGGATGGCTGTTACAACTACTCCTGCAAAATAACACTTGCCATTTTGAACAAAAGGGCATCACTGTGCTAGTGGAGTTACAAAAAGTTACAAGATAAAAATGAAAGGACAGAATAGGGAATGAGAGGCCATCAAACGTGTGAAATCCGAGTGAAGGAGAGGGACCTAAAGCCAAGCCAACCCAACAGCAACAAGGTAACCAGCTTTCCTTATGAAAAAGAGGGCCACAGCTGTGAAAAATTAAGGACAAAGCCTTATTTTAAGACATGTTTTAGGAACTTCTCCTTACTATACTATGTATGTTTTTCTCACGTGTAGAGTGCCTCAAATACACAACTCAGTATAACATCAATTTAATATGTAGGATGACATCTATCATCATCTTAACACATCTTAATATGTTTTAATTTACCAGTTCAATCTAATTATAAAATTCCTTACACGGACAATTATCCTTAACTTTTTTGAAGCTCTACAGGATCAGCTGTAATGACTTTTACACAATGAATATATTCCCCACTGTGCTTCATGAGTTCTAAGAATTTGTAAAAATTAGTTTTTATAGATAGAACAGGCATATTTCTATAACAAGACTCCTGAACATAACATACTAGCGAACCTGAGTTACTCAGTGTTCCCTTTTCTAAAAGCTCATGCCCAGACTTTTATAAATTTTTATCATTTTAAGATGTCCTAAAAAGACAACATTTTTCAGAGAAAGAGTATCTTTTTTCTTTTGTTATTTTTCAGTTAGGTTTTTTTTTTTATAAAGGAGACACTTCTCCAGAATGAATATGCTCTCATGATCTGTAGAAAATAAAAGATTATTCTAATTTTCATACCATATCTTTAAAAACTACTAGCACATTGTAAAATAAATTTAAGTCTTATTCAGTCTCTACAAATGTGTTTCCAACATCCTTATATGATTCAGTGTTGAAAAAACCACACAAACAACAATGGGGAGATATCCCCACTGAAAATACAAAACTAATTTCTAATTTCCAGGAAACGCTGAACATGCTTTGAGCTGTGCAGTATAGAGATAACCATCTTGTGGGGCATGCCTCAACATCTCAGTGTACTAACGCTGACGTAATCAACATCTCCCACAGTTCTGAAACTTTGGTTGTACGTTAGGGCAAAAACCAGGAAACCTTTAGTTACTTGGTCTTCAAGATCAGAGGACAACTGATCGCGGACTTGGCTATTACGCGGCATGCAAGCTGGTCTTGGAACTAGTCATTCTCATTTTCCATTAATTTGCACACAACAAAGTCATTTAAAAAATAAACAGTGCCTGGATTAGCTGCAAATCATGATACATTTTTTAAAATCAAACTTTGATTTAATATGTTTTTTAATTTTCAGATATTCCTAACATTGTTTCCTTTATATCTTGAAAACAGTCTGTTGTCTTTCTGATTCTTTCCTTTCCAATGGCATAGAAATTAATTACTACAAAATATTTTGATATTGATTGAAGCCCCTGCAATCAAGTTACGAATTATCTTCTCAGTTAAAAGAGGGGGTAGTACGTTTTTTGGCAATATCTTAAGCCTGTCAAGATGTATCCTTTTAGGTATGAGTGAACCTTGGGGAAAAAATGTTTAATTTGCTCCATAATCAACTGGTCTATGTGAGTGACTAAGGACAATACTATCAATCCATGCAGCAGTAGCAGGTCATGTAGCAATGTTTTAACATTTTTAGGGGAAAAAAAGTGCAAACATTTCAAGAGATTTGTTCTTAGCCCAGTGAACAAGAATAATTGTTATTATTTGCTCCATGTGCGTGAGCCAGAATCAGCAATAGGGAAAGTTCTTGTATCAGCAAAGATAGGCCTTAAGGCAATTATAACCATCTTTTCTAATCCATGCACAACCATTACTGCACTCCTTCTGGAAAATGTAAAGCCTTTTCTTTGAAGTCAGCATGTTTTGATTTGTTAGTGGAATGCAAGCGTCACAGCCATGGCCACATGGAGACCTATCTTGGTCAATTAAAGATGTTAACAAAACTCAGGCTCAGCTTTAGATCGTGACTGCTTTGTTTGCTCTGAGCCCTTTGTGTATACTAAGCCAAATATTATGCACCCCCAAAGCCCATATTTACTTGACTGTGATAAATAGTTATGAAAAATATCTTTAAATGCATTAATTTGAATGTATTGAGTAATCACACCAATAATGCCTTTAGGAAGGCTGAAGCTCCTTATGCAGATTGGAGATACTGTGAAAGCATATTGAATGAATTTCAGTAGGAACTGCAGTCTTTTCAATAAAAAGGCGGAGAAGAAACGGGTTTTCTTTTTAAGCTGCCAAATAAACGTACAAACTACTACTGTTTAGGATCACTCGCTCCCGGTTCATTGCCTAATTTTGCCCAGCCAAGCCTCTTGCATCTATCCACCCCCTGAAACTCTCACCTAGCTCTTCTCCTTAGCTCATACAAAGCCTATTTCTCTTTCTGGTTTCACTCTTTCCTTGGAAACTCACTGAGCACTGGCAGTAGAGCATGGAGAGGACCCTAGGGATGAGATGGGAGTTTGCAAGCCTTGGAGTGGAGCTGATGGCGCAACACAGTTCTTGAGCATGTAGTGACAGAGCAATTATTGGAGCTATATTTTTGTGTGTGGCAACCCCACTTCTTCCTAACAGGAGTCCTGCATCGATGCCAAACAAACAAATCCTCATAACGATCAGCATTGGCCAGCAGTTTTGAAGGACCAAGTAAACTTGGAATTCTTTCCTCTGCCAGTTATGACAGGCAATATGAGAAATGCTGCAGTTGGATCTGGGCTAGAAACATTTTTCTTGTTCTAGGAAAGTTTTTCAGATTTTAAATGTTTTCTTCTTCTTCACCAGCATGAAATCATGATCTTTCAGAGTAATTGGGCAGAAGTGCAGCAAGGAGATTTTCCTGATCCCAGAAAACTCAGTAACTTGATAATTAAGGCTTTCAAACAATATATGGGAAACCCAGCTTCAATCACATAATTCATATGACAATCTGAGCCTCAAATTCCTTTGAGGAAAGTCTACTCAAAGATGACTTTAACCATAATGTTGGTGTGGGCTGAATCTTTTCCAAGACTTCTTCTGTACAAATGCCATGTTGTGTAAGTAATTTCACACTATTAGGGCCAGAAAAATAAAGAAAGAGTAATTAGTTGCGGATGGCTGATTTTAAGGTAGAGTTGATGAAGTCTCTACACACTGTGAAGATGAGTTAATTATTTCTGTAAAATAAAAAGATGAGCATGAGAATTGGAGAGCCAGTCTGCAACAGGGACCTGGATTTGTTTTTTCCATATCCAACCTGAGCGCTCTACCTACTGTATTGCCCTACCAGCTATTTTGGTTTCTCTACTGATAAATTTGCTATACGCTGTGCCAAGCTGTAATAAGATCTATTTTGCAAGAGTGGTAACCCTAACGTGTAAATACCAGACTTTTGCCTACTTAAGATTCCCCTGTAATTCAGACTGGATACACTCTTAACACTTCCCCCAAACACTGCTTTAAAGAGTGAAAGGTGTTCTATGTATCTATTTTAATTATGTCTACATTAACTTCCAAGGAAATACTTCAGACCCATAGATTTTTTTAGGAGGGACTCATTCAGCTCTTTCAAGCACATGCTCAGCCCCAGCAAGCTCCACGGCAGAGATCCTGTTTCAGCTATGCAGTTCACGCAGCACCAAAGACCGATTCCCTGTCCTATGTTTTTTGTGACCTTAGGTAAACCACAGAAGAGCCATGCTGAAAGTTGCAGGCCCCAAAAGTGCTCTGTCCCCCTCAAAAAAAAAAAAAAAAAGCATTAGCCATCAGGCTGTAAATAAGGCAGGACAGAGAGAAAAGGATGCCCTCTTCAGCCTGAAGTGCTGCCTTCACCTGCAGGTTAGGACTGCAGTAGGGTGCCTGTGGGTGCCAGTCACGTCTTCATGGGCTTGGCCTTGCTACCCCTAA